TACCCCAACCGGGACTCGAACCTAGGACACAGTATTACTGTGCCAAGGTGCTACCAACTACACCACTTAAGGTCTAAAAGAGAAACAAACCTTAGAGTTTAACTGCTAAACTAGGAAATAACGCAATATATCTGAAAGGCTTTTTGTTCGTATTACAGTTTCTCCCAACCTCACTCGTGGCTTCGTTTTTGCATATAATTCCTATCCCAATCTAATTGGGCATCAACAATAAGCAAATAATCACATTACCATATGTGAAAACATGAATCATATTTTACCCCGACCAGGACTCGAACCTTGGACACAATATTACTGTGCAAGGCGCTACCAACTACACTACAGAAGGTCTAAAAGAGAAACCAACCTTACAGCTTAACTACTATACTAAGAATGAACGCATTCTATCTTGATGCCTTTTTGTTCGTATTACAAGTTCTCCCAACCTCACTCGTGGTTTCGTTTTCGCATTTAATTTAAATCCCAATCTAATTGGGCATCAACAATAATCAAATAAGCACATTACCATATGTGAAAAAAGTGAATCATATTTTACCCCGACCAGGACTCGAACCTTGGACACATAAGTACTGTGCAAAGCGCTACCAACTACATCATAGAAGGTCTAAAAGAAAAACCAACCTTACAGCTTAACTGCTATACTAGGAAATAACGCATTCTATCTTAATGCCTTTTTGTTCGTATTACAAGTTCTCCCAACCTTACTTGTGGCTTCGATTTCGCAATTACTTTAAATCCCAATCTAATTGGGCATCAACAATAATCAAATAAGCACATTACCATAAGTGAAAACATGAATCATGTTTTACCACAAAGAAAAAGTAGAAGCTTAAGGTCCAGGCAGAAAAAAAAAAGAATGATACACAATAGAAAAAGTATAGGCTGAAAGAATAGTCAAAGTATCAAGGACCTGTAAATATGGCAGGATTAGGCCCTGAGATGACGATATATCCACATTTTGAAGGAAGATAGGTTATAAGAATTAGGAAAGACATAGAGGAAGAGAGTTCCAAAGTCTGGAGGCGGATGGAAAGAAGCAGTCGCCGCATCAACCAATCTGCAAGCAACATATCTCCACACACTACCTGTGAGACAAGGGTGCTTGGCAAATGTTACGTGGCCTCGGCAGTGGGGGAGTGAAGCAACTGGCAAACTCATCAGAGCAGTGAAGTTGCAACGCTAGAAAATAAAGAGATGATACTTTACAGCGAAGAGAAAGAAAATATATATTAAAAGTAAGAGAAGGGTCATTAATGTGTCTGACTGCCTTAGATTCAACCCTATCAAGGAGATAAGTAGCACAAGCACCCCAGTATTTATATAAACTATTAAATACTAGTTGAACGTAAACATACACACAAATAAAAATACACACACACACATACACACACACACACACACACACACACACACACACACACACACACACACACACACACACACACACACACACACACACACACACACACACACACACACACACAGTAGAATTAAAAGATAGGATTCACAACAGTAAGGCAGATATAGTAGCAATTACAGAGACTAAGTTGAGTGAGGACATAAACAGTGTCACAGTTTTTCCTAAGGGTTTCAGAATACTAAGGGTTGAAAGATCTGAGAGGACTGGTGGAGGGATAGCACTGCTCATAAGTGAAAGGATTCAAGTCGAAGAAATAAACTTGGCTATAGAAAGTGAGTTCAAGGAATTTCTTGTTGCTCGCATAAATACTGGGTCAGAGAGCATTATAATAACTGTTGTATACAACCCACCAAGGAACCAAAATAGGCTTGAAGTTTATGAGGAAAGTCATATAGGTACTATTGAAGTCATAAACTCAGTTGTTAACATGGCACGGGAAAAAAAATGTAGGATTTTGATTATGGGAGACTTTAATCATAAAGAGATAGATTGGATAAATCTTGACCCACACAGTAGTGAGGACTCAATTGGGGCAAGATTCCTAGATTGCGTACAAGGGAATTTCCTACACCAACATGTAATGGAACCAACAAGGGCCAGGGGTGGGGATGAGCCATCACTACTTGATCTAGTGTTCACAGATAATGTGTTGGATATTGAAAAAATTGAGTATGAACCACCAACTGGAAAGAGTGACCACTGTGTGTTGTTGATGGAGTATATCATTGAAGATATTCTTCCTGAGAGTAGAGGTACTGAGGACATGAGGAGGAACTATCGGAAAGGAGATTACATCAAAATGAATGAGCTTTTTGCAGTTATTGACTGGAGAACCTTATTTTACAACAAATCTGTACAAGAAATGTATGACATCTTTTGTGAGAAATATGGGAAGATAGTAGATTGCTGCATACCTGTCACCAAAGGAGGTGTAATTCATGCCAGAGAGAAATGGTTCGATAATGGGTGTAAAAGAGCTAAGGAGTGGAGAGACAAATGCTGGAAAAGGTATAGGAGGAGAAAAAACATAAATGCCTGGCAAACCTACAAAAGAGCAAGAAATGACTACCTAAGTAAAAGGAGAGAGGCAGAGAGAGATTATGAGAGGGACATCACCAGGAAGGCTAAAGAAAATCCCAAGCTTTTCCACAGCTTTATCAGAGGAAAACTGAAGGTAAAAGAACAGGTTTTAAGGCTAAAGAGAGCGGATGGAAGCATCACTGAGACGGATGAAGAGATCTGCAAAGAATTGAACAAGGAGTTTCAGTCAGTATTTACAGTAGAAAATACCCCACCCCCTCAGATTGCAGTGATAGAAGCTCAAGGGCCGGTATTAGAGATCATCAACCTTACAGCCACAGAGGTATGCAAAGCGCTGATGGATTTAGATGTTCATAAAGCTACAGGTCCCGATGACATATCCCCTCATGTGCTTAAAAATGCGCAAACACAATATCAGTGGCACTAAGTATCATATTTAAGGAGTCACTGGAGTCGGGGGAGATTCCAAGATGCTGGAAACAAGCAAATGTGATACCTATCTTCAAAAAGGGAAGGAGGGATACTGCTCTGAACTATAGACCAGTTTCCTTGACCAGCATAGTTTGCAAAGTTATGGAGAAACTACTAAGGAAACATATCTCTCATCACTTGGAATCCTTCAACTTTTTGTCAGTGAGGCAACATGGCTTCAGAGAAGGTAGATCAACAGTAACAAACTTATTAGAATTTTATGATGAGGTAAGCCAAATCTTACAGGAAAGAGAGGGCTGGGCAGATTGCATATTCCTAGACTTCCAGAAAGCGTTTGACACTGTTCCACATGGGAGACTTATTAGGAAGCTGCAATCAATGGCTAGAATAGGTGGAAATGTTTTGGAATGGATAAAAACTTACTTAGAAGGAAGGGAACAGAGGGTTAGAGTAAGACACTCAGTGTCTGAATGGAGAAGAGTTAGTAGTGGAGTTCCACAGGGTTCAGTTTTAGGGCCACTTTTGTTCCTTGTATATGTAAATGACCTACCAGAGTCTGTAAATTCATTCATGAATATATTTGCAGATGATGCAAAGATTGTGAAGAAAGTAAAAAACGAGAACAATGGTAGAGAACTTCAGGAGGATCTAAATAATCTGCATGAGTGGTCAGAAAAGTGGCTAATGAAATTCAATACTTCAAAATGTAAGGTAATGAGAATGGGTACAAGTGCAAGAAGGCCCAAGCTTGACTACTCGGTGGCTGGAGTACAACTTCAAGAGACAGAAAATGAGAGAGATCTAGGAGTAAACATACTGGCAGATTTGTCTCCAGAAATACATATAAATGGCATAGTAAGGGCAGCATATGCATTCTTATCAAATGTAAGGGTAGCCTTCAGGCACATGGACAAGGAAATGTTCAGAAATATTTATGTAACCTATGTGAGGCCAAAACTCGAATATGCAGCCCCCTTTTGGAATCCGCACTTGAAAAAGCACATAGCTAAGCTTGAAAAAGTTCAAAGACATGCCACGAAACTGGTGCCAGAAATACGCAATCTCAGTTATGATGAGAGGCTGAGGGAATTAGACTTACCATCACTCGAGGCTAGAAGAGTGAGGGGGGATATGGTGACAGTCTTTAAATTCCTTCATGGTTATGATAGAGTGGATAGGGATCGATATTTTGATATGGCTGGCTCTAGAACTAGAGGTCATAGTTTGAAGCTTGGTAAGAAAACTTCTTCGCAGGATGTAAGGAAATACTTTTTCAGTGTAAGAGTAGTTGATAATTGGAATTGGCTAAGCGAGGAGGTAGTTAATGCTATCTCAATCCATAGTTTTAAGGACAGGTATGATAAGTATCACTAAGTATAAAATGGAACCGATCAGGAGACGGGAAGATACGAGCTTTGGGCTCTTTCCCGTAAACACAATTAGGTAATCACACACACACACACACACACACACACACACACACACACACACACACACACACACATATATATATATATATATATATATATATATATATATATATATATATATATATATATATATATATATAAACTGATTATGGCTCTCTTTGGCTCTTCTTCACAAATTAGCAAATATTGAGTAGAATCTCAATTCTAGGTGGTATTTATTACTAATACACTTATACCTAATAGGAATGAATATTTTTCGCTTAAATACATTACACTGAAATTCTATCCCATCTCCCTGGCTTCTATAAAGAGACATTTCAAGATGTATAAATCTGGGAAACAGTAGTTGTAAAAAGTTTTTATGCTACTAGGCAATGCCTATGTAGAAAATATGAATGAGCAGTGGTAACAATTTGATTTAATGCTACAATCCCTAGAATAAGAAAAACGATGATGAAAAACGAGTCAGAGAGAAGAAGAAGAAGAAGAAGAAGAAGAAGAAGAAGAAGAAGAAGAAGAAGATAACATCAGAGAGTGAATTCATATGTAGTTATTAATTGCAACTGATGATATGGCATTGGCCTAACATCTAATAATGTTTATGAAAAGTGAAAGGTTTCAGAAATAGGCCAACCCTATTTAGCGTATTGGGATCTCTCATCCTTTTTCAACCTCACTCGGAGGATTATAATACCGAATGTAAAATTACTTAATTATCTGCTAATTATGGAT